AGATTGACTAGAGAGTTAATAGGATTCTGTAATTACAAATATATTAATTAGTTTAAAAAAATAATTTCTAAAAGAAGAGAGAAAAATGCCTGCTAAGACAGTTCATCTAATAAATCCTACTTAAATGTTTTTACATCCTAGGTAACTAGCAGAATTGTAAGAGAGAAACATACGAGTTCTGTCACGGTTCCAGTTGTATTTTAGTTTTCTCTGTAGATAACAACTGTAGAGAAAATTACACTTTTTCAAATAAAGAGTTTTCATCCCAGTTTTATAAATAATGCTCTGATATTATAGTAATTCTTAAAGTCAAGAAATTTTATTTCTGATAGAGACAACTAGTAAATAACTTAACCTGGCTTCTGAAAAGCCAGAATAGTGCATTCATTTAACAAAAGTACTTTTTTTTTGGTTTTTTAAGGCAAAAATTGGGCCTTAGATATGTGCAGTAAGTCAAATTGGTACACCTGGCAGATTTCTTTATGAGGCCTTTAAATCACCTTTCCTTCAAAGCTCTATAGTTATGTTTAATAGAGTTTAGAGAATATTTCTTGTGATATTTGTGAAACATCTATTCATTGACCTGCATTGCTATCATTTAATAGATCATTCAACACCAGCCAGCCAGTCTCCTCATTCCTCCAACCCAAGCAGCCTGCCCAGCTCTCCTCCAACACACAACCATAATTCTGTTCCATTCTCCAATTTTGGACCCATTGGGACTCCAGATAACAGGGATAGAAGGACTGCAGATCGGTGGAAAACTGATAAACCAGGTGAAGTCTAGGTTTCATTATCCTGGGAAAGTGAAGTAATTTGCCATATCCTTTCCTGGGGTTTGGTACAGTATTTGGCAATAATAGAACATCTTGAATTCTTATCTCTCTTCATCCCTTAGCCATGGGTGGGTTTGGTGTTGATTATCTCTCAGCAACGTCATCCTCTGAGAGCAGTTGGCATCAGGCCAGCACTCCAATTGGCACCTGGACAGGCCATGGCCCTTCCATGGAGGATTCCTCTGCTGTCCTCATGGAAAGCCTAAAGGTGAGTAATTTCCAGAACAAGAACCACAAGGTTCTGGCAGCAAAGATGCCTCTATGTTGACTCAGAAAGCTAGGCTGGCTTCTACACCCCTTAGAATTGACAGGTGTATACCATATATGTAACAGAATTCTAGAAATATGGCCTGCCTTACCAGGAGTCTTTGTAAAATTTATTTTTTAGTGTGTGAATCCGCTAGTCATAAAGAAGTTTCTTCAGAGGATTAGAGGCATAAAAGTTTTCACTCTAAGGTTAAGAAAATTCTGATTCATCTTAGATTGTTTAAGTCTTTTCTGACCAAGTGAAAGAAAAATTTGTAATTTAAGAAATGACTTGTTTGCCTAAAGCCTTTATATAAACATACCCCGTGGTACCACATGGAGCTGTTAGCAGAAAGACTTCATTTAAATATATAATTTCGCCTTTTACAGTTTAAAATAATTTTAGCAGGAGCTAACTTAAAGACTTACAATAATGTTCTGTAATAGCTAAGTGTTTTATAGAGTAGGTTCTTGGGGCATATATTCCTATATAGCTGGCAGGGATTAAACAACAAATCCCCCATCAGACAACCAATTGACCTCTGCTGACAAGATCTGGGCTGTTTTTCAGTCTATCTGGTCCAGTTCCATGATGCATCCTGGACCCTCCGCTCTGGAGCAGTTGTTAATGCAGCAGAAGCAGAAGCAGCAGCGGGGACAAGGCACCATGAACCCTCCACACTGAGGCCAAAGTGACAACCCTGGGAATGAAGGCTCCATAAACCATGGCATGTTGGGTTTGCAGGATTGGCCCACACAGTCCCATGCAGGTGGCAGCCCTCTTGTCTGTTCCTTGCTGTCAAGAGGATGTAAGTGTTCCACCAGCCTGCTGAGTGTGCACGATATGCCCGCAGTGCAACGAAAAGAAAAATCCATCAGGAGCTCTCGGTCCCTCCAGGTCCTTCTGGAGGGAGAGAGGAACTGCTGTTTGTCTCACTCAGTTACCTGATATCACCACCTCTCACCTTCTCCGTCGTGCATGTCCCCAGCCACATGGGAAGTGAAAGCTGAGAAGGGAAGGCAGGTGGGAGAAGCCAATGGGAACTTCTCAGTCCTTTTTTCCCTCTTTGGGGAATAAAGTAGGAATCCATTAATGATTGCTTTGCTGACTGAGAATGTAGTTGAAATTATTCCTAAACATCTTTTATTATTGTTATTACTCTCAGTAGTAAAGTATCACACTGAATTCTTCCATACAAGGTGTTCTTCTAGTCAGTGTGTAGCAAAGACAGCCCCATTCACTGCTCCTGTGAGAGGTTGGTGGTGACAGGATAGGGAACCGACCTCCTCAGCCAGTGGAAGTGTTCTGTTGGGAGAATACAGGGCCTCACAGAAGATTCTGGCAGGCCCTTCTCTGGCCTGGAGATTCCAGCAGTAAATGCCCTTCACTCTGTAGGTGCTCGAGCCCTCGAGGATGCAGTGTGGGTATTGGTGCTGGGCTAGACTAGCAGGTGACTGCTGTAGGGTTTCAAATTAATGTTTTTGATTCCTGTACTTTTTGCAGTAGCATAGCAAGCAGTCTCACAGAAGGCAGGCTAGTTCATTCATGGCCTGACACATTTTATTAGGTAGAAGCTTTCAGTGTGGTTATTTTTGGTTGGTTGGTTTTGTGCCCTCATCCTACTTACCAGCCTCCTGCACCTGTGTCCATCCCTTTTGCTAGTAATTGTTTTTATTCCTGATATGTACAACATTTCGCCAAGAAGCAACAGCATGGGGTCCAGCAGTTGGGGCCCAAAGGACAGTCTGAAGAGGAGGGAAGCAGTACCGTCTGCATAGCCAGAGAGGCCAGGCCCCTGCCCAGCAGCAGTCTCCCAGCCTCCACTTCAAGAGTGAGATTAAAGGCACCATGGACACATGCACGTCGTGAAGAGAAGAAAACACAATGAAGGCCATTTTGGAAAAGGCGAGAGAAAAGAAAATAAACTTTTTATTTGATATTTATTAGGAGGAAAGAGGACTGAAGATGTTCTTGTGTAGAAACAGAAGGACAGCATTTCTGTTAGTCACTTCCTGGAAAAGTAATATTTTAAGGGAAAATTATGGAAACAATCTAAATGTCCAATTGCTGTGCTAGTGGTAGGGATTTTCTGGGAGGTGTGTGTGTGTGTGTGTGTGTGTGTGTGTGTGTGTGTACCCACACATGCCCATCTGCTCCCCCAGAGGGAAGGGGTTGTGTGTATGAGTGTATGGAGTTGGTATGAAACTTAGCTGGGAAACAGCTGCAGAGCAAAGCACATCAAGGAGCCCGAGTTGTCACTGGAGTCTGGCAACCCCAGCAATTAAAAGGGGTGAGATAATGCTCATTGCTCTTCAGAAAGAGTGGTTGAAGCCCCCATATGCTTACATTATTGGTCTTTTAGTTTGACATGGTATTTGGGTTTTTTGTTTTTGTTTTGTTTGTTTTGAAAGGTCTGAAAGGGTAAAGCCCCCCCATCTAATGGCAATATGAAAAACCCTTTGTGCTTCTCTCCATCCCCTCCCTGTGTCTACCCCCCCCTTCCCTACTGCCTTTACCCGGTTTGTGTGTTTGAGCTCTGCATTCAGGCAGCTGCAACATTCCAGTGTTTGAACTGTCACTGACCCTTGCACCCTAGACGAGCTAACCAGGTTTACCATCTCCCTCCCAGTAGTGCCCAGTTCCCATCTACAGCCCCATTCTGCATGAGAATTTGGTGTTTGGAATGTTTTCTGACTCTTGGAGCGGGGTTCCTCGCCTTATCATCCTCACTGCAGGAGTAATGAGGAGGGGGAGGAGAATCTTCATCAAAAACTGGTTTTGTGTAGTAAACTTACTTTTGTGGGGGTTTTTTGTTTGTTATTGGGGGGGGTTCTTTTTCTTTTCTTTTTTTGTCTGTCTGTACAAGACCTGCAGCTGCTGAAATCAGCTTTGCCTTTAATTAAACCATGTTCTCTCCAACCATATCTGTGTATGTATTTATTTTCCACCCTAAAAAATACAGTATTGAAGAAAGTCCAACTTAAAGAATTCAGCTACTCATAAGTCATCCAGATAAAAGGCAGAGATAATCAGAACTTGAGTGTGTTTCAGAGTTGTTAATTGCTTTTCTTGGCATTCCAAATCAGTGAATTGTTATAGAAAGGGAGGTAGAAAGAAACTGATTACCAAAGTTCTTTTATTTAATAAAGGAAGATTGACTTATATAAACGAGTTAATAGCCCATTTTTAATCCCTGTTCTAGTTGTTAATGTGGCATTTCCGAGATAATTTATCCTTTTGACCTATTAAATTCACTAAATCTGATTAATACCAATAATAATTTCTGTTCTTGGCCTTGGGGTAGCTTTTCATCCATTTGTGTCCCATGTCCCAAGTTTCTACTAGTAACTTGCTGGACCTTCAGCAGCATGCTGGCAGCCAGTGCTCTCACTGACTGTCCTTTCACTGAGGTGTTGATTCAGTCTATAGTTCATCTCTTTACTGTACTTTTCACAAGCACCTACACACTTGGAAAATTGTTAGCAAAGCCATACATGCTCTGTAAGAAGAAAGGGCAGAAGGAATTAAGGCCAGGTCCTAAGATGTAGTATTTACGGAATCCTTCATCCAAGTTAACCCTATATATATTCTATATATAGAATAAGTGTAAAATAATAGATTACTACTAACCAACTGACTTCTGAATATAGCTTTTCATCACTTAACTTTAGTGGCATATATTTAGTTTTGAATTCTAATAAAAGTCCCTCTCTGGGAAGGCATAAAGGAATGTACTTTTAATTCTCTGTGTAATTGAATGTTGTATTCCATGGAAGCCTAACTCAGTGTAGATTATGTTTAAGCAGTGAAACTTTTGGCAAGGAAAAACAAAAAGTTAGTTTTATATGTGTATGTGTTCAGAGTGACCTGTAAGGTTACCTGAAGCCTCAGGAATCTATGATATTAGTCATACAGAAATAAGAGTTTCCACTTAGCTTTGGCGCTAGGACTCTGGGTGTTTTATTTTATTTTTGTAGATAAGTTTTTCATATATATAAGTTTTTTATTGAGCTATCACAATATACAGAAACATGCATTGATTAAAACTGCAATTCTGTGAATTTTCACAAAGTAAATACATCTGGATTACCAGCACTTAGCAGAAAACAGATTATCAGCACTCTAGAGAACGTTCTCATGCCCTTCCAGATACTTCATTCACTCCCTGCCTCTCCATGCACCAGGAAATCTTTATCCTGAGTTCTTATATAAAAAAGTTAGGTTAGTTAATACTTCCAAACTGTGATGTCTTCTGTGGTCCACAGCAGAAGTGTGTTAAATCTTGCAGACAAATAATAAAGCTTCCTTCAAGTTTGTAGATTGTGAATCATCCTAGGTTGCTCTAGGAGTACTATCTAAATCTGTGGCTGCACATTCTTCAACAAAAGCTTTAGGGAAAATGCCAACTTTTCCTTTACATTCCCCTTCCAGCCATTCTTCGTTCACTGATAAAATGAAAAGTACACATTAATTACTAGGAGCATATAGGGAAATTACCCCATCTAGGTATTTCACAAATTTTTCTTTTTTGGTATCAGGGATTGAACTCAGGACCTTGCGCTTGCAAGGCTGGTGGCAGCACCACTGAGCTAAACCCCCAGCCCACACAAATATCTTATCAATCATCCCCCACCCCAAATTGTGACAACAGGGAAGAGAAAGTGCTCTGAACTTAAAATGAATGTAAGGTTTAGCTGTCTTACTGATTTGTTTTGAAGGAATAAAATGCAGAAGAATAAATTACAATTTTTAAAAGTCATTGGAGAAGATGAAATTGAATCTTTAGATATGATTTCTTGAGAAAAGAGTGTTGTGATTGGAGTTTTGTTGGGAATTTTCATTTTAACATCAGAAAGGGGGCAAGCCATTGTCTAATAAAAGTGAAAGTTCCCTTGTCACTGGTTCATCAGAGCATTGAAAGTTGGAGCTGGTAAAGGGTTAGTACATATTTGTAAAAAGGATTTTAGTAATTCCCACTTTGAGTCTAATAGTGTGGAGATATTGTACTAAAGTATATATACACTCAAGACTTCATAATAACCCAATTACTTGGGATGCAATTGAAAAAAAATGTTTAAAATGTTTTAATTATATTAAAAGACACATTGCCCTTAAATCTCCCTTAAGATACTACTCAAACACACTTAACCCATCATTCTTGCCACTTTTTAGAGCAATTCAGAAGTCCTCTTTTATGGTGTCTTTAGTTGCATTATTGTAGCTGTCTCCATGTCCTGAATTGATTCAAAATATTTACTTTTCATGGTCGTTTTGAGTTTGGGAAAGAGCCAGGAGCTGCATGGTACCAGATACTGAATGAGGTGGATGAAGGACACACCGTACTTTTTTCAAGCCTCCCTCTCCACTGGATGGAATTCACAGCACCATTCACCATATTTTTGATCATACCTCTTAACAAAAGAGGGCTCCCAGAATTGCTTCAGAAAGTGGCAAGAATGATGGAATGTTTTCAAAGCTAGGGGGTGTTTTGAGCAGGTTTAATGGCAGTGTTTTACTGAAATATTTTTTGTTTAAACATTTATCATGTATTTTGATCAGCAGTTGTAGTTATCTCCATCTTACTAAAGAAAAGGCCCCGAGAGATTAATAGTTTGCTCAGAGCCATTTTACCAGTAAATACCAGACATCTTAGGTATAACCTCCAAAACACATCTACCAGACCACACAAGCAGCTTAGAAGTCCACCTTAGGGTGTAAGATGGAACTCTGATGCCTAGATCCTGCCACTGGAGATTCTGAAATTAGTGCTGAGTGTGGCTGAGCATCAAGCATTTCCTCTGGTAATTCTGATTGTAAACCAGTTTTCATTCTTACAGTGAATATGGACTTGAAGCATCTGGTTGTCCCAGATCCTGGAACCATATTAGAAATGCAAAATCTCAGACCCCATCCACACTTATGTCCATCTTAAGAGGATCCCCAGGTGGTTCATATGCACATCAAAGTTTGGGAAACACTTTCTAGATGAAACCATCTTGTAACTACTGAATGCAGTTGAATTCACCCTCAGTTTCATCTGTGTCTGCTGAATCTTGTTTCATGTTGAACTTTTACCAGTGAAATTCTGAAGTGTTTAAGGGTACTTCCTGGTAAAGACTTGTGTGTGTCAGTGAGGAGCACAGTGCCTTCTCAAATATCCCAAGAGTTTTTTCTTGTGTGTTCTCATTTTTATCCCCTACCCACCCCCCACCTCCCCAAAAATGGACAATTTAGCTGATCCTTTGATATTGACAGAAAATTGCCCTGGGAGGTCTTAGCCCAATCCTTCCCATTGAGTTTCCAATCTCCCTTGAGAGAAATACACTGCAGGCACTCTGCTTTGTTTCTCTCCTCATTTTGAGTTAATTCCCTGTACATATTTGTATACTTTGTACCCCTTCAACTTTAAAATATTATACTCATTTCTTAATCTGTTAGATTTTCTATTATAATTAATAGATTTTCATGACTTTGTATTGCTCATGCACAGCATTTCTGCCACATGAGCAAGGCTTTTTGTAATGGAAATCTATTGTTCCAGGAAAACAAATAAGACTATCAAATTATAAATTAGAACAGTGGTTCTCAGAGTACAGTCAGACCAGCATCACCTGGGAAGTGGTCAGAAGTGTAAACTTGAGCCCCATCCTATATCTGAACCAGAATCTCTGGGAAGTCGGCCACAGAATTTGATTTAGCAAACAGTTCTAGTGATACTCGGGCATACTGAAGTTGAAGAATTACTAATTCGAACTCTCCACTTACTGTTTCACTTTTTAATCTGTTCACTCAGAACAATCCAGAAAGTTACCGGAAATACAGGTCAGTTGTGAATAGCTCCCCCAGTTCCCTCTTCCCCCATGTTTTTTTCTTGTTTGTTTTTTTGAGTTTTTTTCTTGTTTGTTTGTTTGTTTTTTGGTACCGGGGATCGAACTTGGGTCCTTGCGCTTGCGCAGCCGGCGGCGAAACCACTGAGCTAAATCCCCGGCCCATCCCCCATGTTTTTTGAGAGAGGGTCTTACTGAGTTGCTAAATTGCCTTGGTTGGGCCCAAACTTGCAATCCTCCTGCCTCAGTTTCCCACAGTCCTGGACTACAGGCATGCACTGCCATGCCCAGTGAATGGATGCTTTTAAAACAAAATTTACCTTCCTTTTTTTTCCTCTTTGGAAAGTGCACCAAGTCAAAGATCTGTGGTTGGGTGCATAAGCAAAATGATTCTAGCCAATTTGTCAACTCTTAGAATGAAAATCTATGGTTTTCAAAGCAGCCCTCTTCAATAACCAAGGTGTTATCAGTCATATGCATGGTAATTACTTGCCTGCTTGGTAGAGCAAAAGACAAGGAATGAGTGAGCATTTGTCCACTCTTGCTAAAAGCTGGAAAGGAGATTGAAACCACTGGCTCCAGTTTGGTTTATGGGTTACTGGTGTTTTCCTTCTTTCTGTGACCTTGTTTCTGCTAAGTGTGAGTTCTGTTCTGTGAGAGCACTTACCCTTTGATAGCACCAGGATTACATCCCCTTCCAGAAACTCTAGGTCCTCTGGTTGGGTAGCCTTATAACTGAAGAGTGCTACCACTCGGCTCCCTTCTTTAAACTGATATTCTTTTGTCTGGCTGTTAAAATCAGATTCTTCACTTTCCTTGGGTTCTTCTAGGAAGCCTTGGTCACCCTGAAAAAATAAACAGCTTGTTAATTTTCCCAATTTCTTGGCCTGTGAACAGTGAACCCACTAAAGGAAACAGTGAAATATCAACTCATAAAGACCAGTTTTTGATCGATGCCTAGCATTTTAAGGCATTTTAAGGATACAGGATGGTTGGATGAGTGAAATCAAAAACTCTGAAGAAGTACACATAGTCTTAAAATACCTTACTGGAACCTTATCGTAGTCCTAAGGAAGGTAGAATGGGCATTATTCTTTTCCAGTAGAGAAACTATGAGTCACAAGTAACAACCAGTGGTCCAACTCGGGCTTCTTAGCACCAGTTTTAACCTGCTTTCCCCAGCATCACTATTAGGGCCCTTGTTAGAAATGCACATTTTCTTGCATTTCTCTATCCCAGATCTACTAAAAAAAACCTTCCTAAGGGTGGGGCCCTGCAATCTTTCTTTGAAGACCTCTAGGTATTTTCTTGTATTTGCTAAAGCTTGAGAACCAATGCACAGTGCCATACTACCTAAGGCCATGAAATAAGCTTGCCTTCTATAAAAACATTTTACACATTTTAGGCATTATGATCTTAGGCCTCTTACATGTTATCAGTTTTTGTTCCATAAATAGAAGGATGCAATTTCTGGCGGTTTGAATCATGGGATTTAATAAATCAACATTAGAAACCGTGGTAGACTAAAGTGCTGTGTTAAAATTTCCAGTTTCTTATACTGTGTGTTGAACCCTGGAGCATCCTCTTTACTATAGGGCAGTACAGTGAGGTGGGAGTGACCCCCTGGGGGCAACAGATCTAGGGTTATATCCCTAGCTATAACTACTGCTTACCAGCTGTATGTCCCCGAATAGCAGTGTAACCTCAGAACTTCAGATCCTCACCCTAAGAGGCTAAGAAATTAAATGAGACAGCAGGGAATAATAATTGTTGTTTATTGAACACCCATTCTGTAGCAGTACTATTCTAAAATAATATGTTTAAACTTGGTTAACGCTGTGTTCCTGTTTACCGTAGATGTATAATAGATATTATTTTTTCCTAGTTAGTGAGAACCTGACTCCCTATCTCCAAGATAAGAGAGATAGAAAGTGTTCAACAGTGGCCCCTGAGCCTGAATGAGTTCCAAAGGGACTTAGAAATTTGGGAAACATTATATATGTATAGCCACTAAATTGACCAACCTCCTCAAAGGGAAAAAATAATTTTTTAAAAAGTGTTTTTAAGTGAAATAGAGCAGATGAATCCCTTCTAGGCAGATGTCCAAGTAAATGGATAAATTGAAGTATCCATGCACTGGAATACTATTTAGCAATTAAAAGAAATGGATTCTAGAAACCCAAAAGACTGTACAATATAATGCACTTATATAAGGTTATATAAAAGGCAAAAGAATGTTGACAGAAAGCAGATACATAGTTTTCAGGGGCCAGAGTTAGTGCAGAGAGTTAACAACAAAAAGACATGGAAAATTTTCCCCTGGAGCTGAAGGGACAAGTCAAGAGTGTTACCTTGTAGTTAGCCCTTCTGTCATCTCACTTTGCTCCTGACTCACATTGTTCATTGTTCTTTAAGTTACAGCGAGGTGGTTATAAATACAGGCAGGCTCTGGAACCAAATGGCCTGTGTCATCTCAGTCGAGTTGCTTGCCCTCTCTGCCCTCTCAGTTCCAGGGATTATAACAGTCGTTTATAGAACACATGCATGGTGTCTGGCACATGAGAAGTTCTCAGGAGCTGCTTGCTATTAGGAGGAAGCTGTTACCTGAATCATCTCTGAAAGGAATGCTCACTATTTTTCACCTGCAAGTGTTCTTCATAGGAACTAAAGAAGGTCAAGAATGGTAGTGAGCTCGACCTCAAGCTTTGACTTCATCCTAGCCATTGCTTGACAGTGTCGGGCATAATACTGACCCATTCAGGCCTGGCAGCCCATGGAGGGGGCTCAAGGCTTCCTGTGGGCCCCTGGGCCTGCTGGGCCCACTCTTATCCATGGGAAACCTTTCCCAGCTGCAGCTTGGATGAGGATGCAGAGAAAAGAGGGCAGAGCTTCAGCTTGTTATCCACCATGTCCCCAACACTACGCACAGTGCCGGCACCAGGAGGTGCTTGATAAATGTTGAATCACTTGTCAGCCCTGGGCTCACTGCACTCACCACTGTGTTCTCACACCAAAGAGTCAGGCAGTAGTTTTTCACTTGGCTCCAGGCATCCTGCATGCTTTCTTCTGAAAGGGTCACCAGCTCATTGCTGTCCCGAGGCAGATAACTGAATGGGGTTAATGAGCAAGGACCAAGTTAGAGACCATAAGCACAAAAATCATCCGGTTAGTCTTCTGGGCCAGCACAAGATCTGTAGCTGTGCCCCTGAGTGCGGCCTGCAAGGAGCTCACCTCAGCTTAGTATGTTCCGGCAGGAGCTCCAGTTTTTTGGACACCATGTGCCAGACATGGGTGTAAGGGAGCCCAGGCTGAGTCTCCATGACCACTGTGTACTTGTAGTGCACCTTGAGTGTGTAGAGCCTGGGGATCCTGAGCTGTATTTCCTGAGAGAGATAGAAGCAAAGGAAATTCCTAAGTGAGGTTTTCAGCAGCATCTTGGATGACCAACGCTTGTGTTGCCATAAGAGTACCCTGTGTCGCAGGAGAGAGGCCAAGAAGTGACTGGCTCCACATTTACCCTGAAAGGCCTTCAGAAAACCTCCAGCCCAACTCCCACTTGAACAAATACTCTACTGGGCAAGAGTTGACAAGTTATGGGCTAAGGGGAGATGTGTACATGACGTGGGAAAGTGAGGGGAATGGCAGTCCACAGACTGTGTAAGGTGGAACTGGTTCAGCCCTTCCCATGGGACTCTAATCCTGACAGCCATGCCATGTGACAGCTCAGACTCTTCCATCTTCTCCCACTTGAAAAAGTAAAGGAAAAATTTACCTTGGGCTCTTCTTTTTGTTTCTGACCTAAATGGAAAAAGTAGGGAGTAAAAGAAAAGGAAGTGGTGAATGAACAGTCTTGGCCAGCCCCTGCCATGCATAAAGTGGAACCTCTTAGAGCATAGGATCCAGCTTTTTAGCCTCTAATCTCTGGGGTGGTTCTTAACCTTAGTGAATTTCAGGGAGCATCTCACTCTGGGGAAATATGAAGGTCATGAATAAAGCCAATCTTTGCTTCTAGGGCACCAGTAGATAATACTTGAAGGACTAGCAGTACATCCTTACCAACCCGGGGGGTTAGCCAGGTCCCTGGGATCAGTTAAACCTGTATAATCCAAAGAAGTGAAAGGCAGGGAATGTGAGATGAGCCACAGGCCACTGGAAGAAATATTAGAATCACTTATTTTTTACCTTTTATTTTGTGTATATCTTCTACTGTGTATAATTTATTAAGATAGTAGTATGCATATAACTTATGTGACAGAAGCATAAATATATTTACTATAGGGGTCCATGGATTTTAAAAACAACCACTTATCTCAAACTCTGCTGATCATTAGAATAACCTAAGAATTTTTTGCTAAAAATACAAATTCCCAAGCCCTATCCCTCCCTGCACACAAAGAAGTCAGAATCAAAGGCCCAGCAATCTCTATTCCTAAAATCTTCCTCGGGTAATATGTGACCTTTGATGAGCTCCTAGACAGAAAAAATAAGAACAACAAAGCTACCAAGAATGGGAGGGGTATGAATATACATTTTACAATATTAATGTTAAATGTCCTAGATGTGACAGCTGTATTGTGGTTACACAAAGGACTGTTCCTAGGAGAGGCGTGCTCAAGTGTGGATTGTGTCATGTGTCTGCAACTTAACTGTCAAATGGCTCAAGGTTAAAATAAAATTACACGTAGGACAGCAGGACATGTACATAGTACAAGTTGTAAACATTGGTTAATTTGGGTAAAAGGCATTCTGATGTTTATTGTATACTATTTTCAAGTTTTCTATAGGTTCGCAATTTTTCAAAATAAAAATGCAGGGAGGGGCATGGCTAGTGATTCTGATGACCAAAAGATTGGATACACATCTCTGGCAGAATCTGCTTAAATCACACTAGTGACAGAAAGCCCATTACTTCCCCAGATAGCCCTCTCCACACCAGGTAAGATCCTTACAGGGAGAAAAATCTCACTTTCGCATCTCCCATTGGTTCTTGCTCACACTACACCCTCCCAGGGCTCTGCATGGTTTCTTTTCCAGATACAGCCCTCAGACATTTGAAAAGAGCCATTCCATGCCCCTCTGGGGTAAAAACATGGAAGTACTGCCACCTCTCTTCTATAACATGGTTTCAGTACTTAACAAATAAGGGTTATGGTGACTGTTTGAGAGGTGATACTCACTGTCTCTCAGAAAGCTTGTTCAACCATGCCCCATGAGTGTTTTGGAGCAGGCAGGGAGAAAGGACTTCAACTTCATGTCTGAGATAGGTAGGTAGTGTATAGAAAGAGAGTTGTTGGTAATACACTGAGGGGCATGTTGGGAAAAGAAACAGAATTTCCTGGAAAGCTGGGAGAGCCACTGTCAGAAAGCAGCCTGGAGTACTCCTGAAACCAGGTCTGCTCCAGATGTTGCTCCAGGGCCACTAACCTGGTGACAGCTGGGGTCTCCCTGGGGCATTGGAACTGGGAGGAGGTGGGATGTCAGATTCCAGGGAGGTTTCCTCCTAGAAGTGACAGGAAGAGAGTCAGATACTTTCTTTATTCAGACAAAGTTCACAGGGCGGTCATGACATTTGAGGAAGGCTAAGAAAAATGTTGATTTAAAGGGGAGGAAATTTGGCCTGATGAAAACAAAAGTCACAATAGAAATAAAGATCTTAACGGTCACCTAACAGCAGCCCCTTGCCACCTTATCTTCCCTTGGAAATACACTGGAGTCAGGACACTACACTACACTACGCTGGAGTGTAGAACACTACACTCTTGTCTCAGCCGGAGAGGCCACTGAGAAAGGAATAATTCCCCTTCTTATTTGCATGGCATTTAGAAACTTCAAAGCAGCAGGAGGTGCTGATCCCATAGAATGAGAAGATAGGCTCTGTTGCCATCAGATCACTTATAAGTCTGTTCAGATCCAGCAAAGAGCACTCTCTAGGCTCGGCAGAAGGGTAGGCTCTTTGAGGGGCTGGAGGAGGTGCTGACAGCTTCAGAATCAGTGGCTGGCAAGGCTCATTCTGATTCAACACTAAGATAGATCTTGTTTTCAATGGCATTGCACCAATACATTGGCTGTTCTTCCTGGTGAAGAGTACACATGGGAAGACCTAACTCTCATAATATGGTTAAGCTTTGATTCCCAAACCACCCTGACCAGGAGGAGTCAGAGCTCGGTGGGCCTCATGGATCCTCCACTCAGCACATCTGGGCCTTCTCCCTTGTCCCCAGGTTCAGCTCTGGGCAGCTGGTGCCAACTCAACTGGCCCAGGACCAACAAGTCTTTCTTCAGTGACAGTGATAGAACCTCTTCCACACTACTTTTCTTCCCTCCAAAGAAAGATCTGCCAAAGGTGGGAGGAAACAGGTCAGGCACTTTGTTACCTGGGGCTGCTGCTGAGGATGAATCCGTAGCTCAACTGGTTCAAGGTAGTTGCAGGGAACAAGCCCCTTCTGCAGTTCAACATCACAGAATCAGAAAGGGGAAAACAAAGTTATGCTCATCAGTATCCCTACCATGCCCAGAGCCACAGGGGAGAGACCGAGACAGACCAAAGAACTTGGCTGGTCTGCAAATAAGTAGCAGGTACTGCTTCACAGGAAGCTCTGCCATTTCGTGCCATGATCCCAAACCCTTAGGATCTCCCCAAACCTCTGAACACCTACCTGCCCATTGAACATGACTGTGGCCCAGTTATCATTGCCCTTCTTCAAGACAAAGACGATGTTTCCTGGCATGACCTGGAGCTCCTCTGGTGTCTCAGGAACAAACCCAAAGAGCACTCGGTGAGCTTCCCCTTCCAGAGCCCTGCAGAAGGGGAGACAGAAGATCCAGCCCATTGTTTAGCCTGGACCATATCCTCTCTCTGGTGGGACAAGCATAATGAGACAGAATTGGCTCTAGATTCACTCCAGATCCACATCTAACTGCCCGTGTGACCTGCCTGGCCTCCTAAAGGGGGCTGGCAAGAAACTGCATTGAGGATGCTTCATAAACACAGGAGACTCCATCCCTCGTTCTCCACGGGCGTTAGGATCTAAGGCCCCCAGGGGATGCCTGAAACCACACATAGTACTGAACATTGAATACACTATTTTTTTCTGATACCTCCACACACAAATATAATGCTTTCCCCATCTGAACTAAACACTACCACACACTGTGGCTGTAGCTTTTAGTTTGAAGTGTGACAGCAAAACCAGGACAAATTTCTTTTGTCTTCAAAATTTCATGAGTAGAAAATCCTTTCTTAGGTCTTAGCAACCTTAGAATATGATTTTTTTCCTTTCCTTATTAAGTTGAGAACTTTCACCTTTTCACATAAAGGAAATTTTTTACAGCTCTCTTTAGCAAAACTCTTACACTTTGGAGAGTTTAAATAAGGATTACTCGAACAGAACCATTGTGATATCACAACAGACCATCTTGATTGCATAGACGGATGGCTACTAAGTGCCTAATGGGCAGGTAACACAGAGAGCCTAGAGCGCTGGACAAATGAATGATTCATGTCTCTGGTGGGAGGGAACAGGAAGTGTGAGATTTCATGCTACTCAAAACGGAGCAATTTAAAATTTATGCTTTATTTCTGGAATTTTCCATTTAATATTTTTGGACTATGGTAGACTACGAGTAACTGAAGCCTCAGAAAGCAAACCTGTAGATAAAGGGGGAACAACTGTATATGCTGTGGGACAAAGATAAAAAACAAGCAAACATCAAAGCAGTACAAGATAATGAAGTCTAGGGCCAGGGATTTAGCTCAGTGGTTTCAGCGCCTGCCTTGAAGGCACAAGGTCCTGAGTTTGATCCCAGTACCAAAAAAACCAAACAAAACAAAACAGGATAATGAAGTCTATAACCCCTAGGGTGGATTCCACCCTTCTAGGGTGGAAGTTCCTAGCTGGGTAAACTTGGCAGAGTCCCACATGTGGTCTGGGTGGGTCAGGGGAGTATGGCGAAGGGAATGGCACAGGTGGAAGCTGAGTGAGAGAGAAGAATGGGGAAGAGGTGGGAGAAGTCACCTAGCCCAGTCTCGGGCCAGTAAGGGAAGGAGTTGAAGAGCAAGAGGTGAGCTGTGAGCAGTGTGAGGGTTGTGTACAGAGGGCTCCCCAAGCAGTCTCGCTGTGTGCTGGGCAGAGTCATTTCCCCTTACTGATTCCTCAAGACCCACTTCACTCCTCCCCACTCCAGGGCTGCTGCTTCGAACCCTGGTGGGATGTGTGAGTGGGGCTAGCTTCGAGGCTGCCCCTGTATGGTTTGCAGGCTCCCTCTGTTCACACTATACTCATCCCTTTCTTTTGTCTCCGAACATCCTGTCTGTTTATGTAAGGAACACAGACTCCTCCAGCCCCAGCGAGTGTAGAAATGAGCTCACCTAGCCCCCTTACTTCTGTAGTCACTTTTTACTTTTTCTAACCTCTTTTATTGGTAGAGGAACTAAGGGAATTCTTAAGAAAACTGTAGGTTGTGTTACTCTGCTTTTCATCTTACAGAAGAATGACTTCCTTTTCTTGAGTCCTTCCTCTTACTGCTTCAGAAAGCATGTGTCAATAGAGTGGGAAACACCCACACAGGAAAGGGGACACCACTGTAATTTTCTGTCCAGAGAGCTCTGGCTTCCCTCTTTTCTGAGGGGCCCTGACGCCAGCACAAAACTAACCTCTGACCTTGGACCTTGCCCCACGCAAACTGCTGCACTTCAACAGGCCCTCACCACATAGGTTGCTGTGCACATTGATGTGGGATACCATGTAGCCTACGGCCAGGGCCTGATGGTCAGCTCCTCGAGAGCCAAGACTCGCATCCCCACTGTATCATTCTGTTGTAACCTTGCAAAAGGAGCCTCACATCCTAGAAAAGTCCACAGATTTAGGCTTGACCCAGCTTCTTCTTCTTCACCCTCTTATTGCCATCAACTCCAGCTTAGAGTTGGATACTCTGCATATGGACCTGAATCTAACTTACCTGAAGATCTCTGGGGTTTTGGGTCTGGTTGGAGGCTCAGCTGTCTATGGAACATTCAGGAGAAATGAAGAAGGGAGGACAATGAGGGAAGAAGTGGGAGAGAGAGAACAGACTGTTAATGGTAATGTGAGCATTTTTCCAGTCCAGAAAATCAAAGACTGCATTTCTGGCTGATGGGAACACTGCCTAGGGAGAAGGCACAGTGCATCCTGACTAAACCTTGGAAAATAACACCTCCCACCAGCTCCCCAGGCAGTGATTTCACCAGCACAGCACTTCAGCTTGAGCCAGAGCTGGCTTCTGGAGAAGGTTAGCTGTCACAGAGCAATGTGATGTCAGGGAGTGCTTCTGACCTTGAGCTCTGTCCCTTTCCCAGGACAGTCTCCGAAAGCTCAGTTCTATAATTAATGTCTGCTGTATCACGTGACACTTCTGGGTCTTTAAAATCAACTCAGGACCCACTGGCCAGGCAAGAATCTTCTTCCAATGTATATTCCATTTCTACACTGAATATCTTGGAGTCCTGTTACCTGGGCTTCTTTTCCCTCTTGTGGTCCTTTGGCTGAACTGAAACCCAAGGCACTTGGGTTTTCTTCAACTGTATTATGAAGAAACAGGTGAAGGAATCTGGACACTGGCCCTCTGTCCCCTCCCAGAGCCCCAGCATTGATCACACTCTGGTCCAGCAATGATCGTCCTGACCCAGTGAGGTGATCAGTGCTGCGCTGTCATACAGTGCCTAGGGAGTGTGCAGACTGCAGGGTAGGTGTGCATGCTCAGGACACCTTCGTCTGCTATACCAGCCAATGCTCTTGCCCATCATGGCTTCTTTGCAATAGGGCTCATATGTTACCCTCTAGTCACAAGGAAGCTCTGTCTTCGCTTTTAGATTCACTACCGCTCTGCTCATCTGGGACCATCTCTCCAAGCCCATTTAGGGCTGAAAAATGAGTCCCTCTGGCACCCTGCATGTGTTGCCAAGAAAATCCCCGGCACAGAGGCAAATGAATGGGATGGGGAAAGCCCAAGTCCTCGAGCCCCAGGCTTGTTAAAAAGCCTTCCATAACCCAGCCTTGGTGGGGCATGGCTACAATCCAGAACTTTGGGAGCCAGAGGCAGGAGGATCACAAGTTTTAGCCCAGCCTGCTCAATTTAGGAACCTGTAAGACACTGTCTCAAAATGGGGGAGGTGGGGCCGGGGATGTAGCTCAGTGCAAAGCCCCCCCCCCCCGCCCCAGCCAAAATCAATCCTTAGTACTGGGAGGGGTGTTTCTACAGCTTGCATTTCAGTTTTCTGAGGGAATGATCAAGGCTTCACAAGACAAAAGATCCACTGGAATTTAGAGAAAGAAGAGGACGTGAGATTAGCTAACATAATCATATTCCCGACTGGCCCTGGACACTGGGACTGAACGGGCAGGCAGTTCCCCCAGCAGCACAGAGCAGCTGCCAAGGAGCCCTTACAGGAGCAGCTCAGCACAGTTCTCCCCAGGAGCTGTTTTCCTGATATCTCTGGAGACTAGTTCTGTGAAGCAGGGCAGGACCACTCACTTGCGGCTGCAGGGGAGCGAACCCAGAGAAGCTGTCTTGATCCACCACAGACGCCACAACCTGAAATGAGGACAGCCGGGTGTGAGGGCTCTGCGGCCCTGTTTTCCTGTCTTCTAAGATTTCCTCCTTTCTCACTCGCAGATCCATGTTCACTTGTGCCAGTACCAGAAGTGGATGGTGGCTGAGGATTAGATTACTCATCTTCTATACTAGAAGTTTCAGCAACCAAAGAAACTAGCTCTCACCTCACCTCCAATAACCCAGCTCACTCTTTCTCCCTTTAAAAAGAAAATTTTTTTATTAAAATGAAATTCATATAACATCAAGTTAACCATTTTTAAGTAACCAAGTTAGTACAGCCATAATGCTATGCTGTCAGCATGTCTATCTAGTTTCAAAACATTTTCATCACCCCAAAAGAAAATTCTATACCATTAAGCAATTAACTCACAGTCCTCTTTCCCCAAAGCCTGGAAACCACCAGTTTGCTTTCTGTTTCTGTGAATTTACCTGTTTAAATATTTTATATAGCAAAAGGAATTGTACAACATGTGGCCTTTTGTGTCTGGCTTCTTACACACAGCATAAAGTTTTCAAGGTTCATCCTTGTTGCTGCATGTATCAGCGCTTCATTCCTTTTTTTGGCTGAGTAATTCTCCATTGTATGATCATATCACATTTTGTTTATCTATTCATCCACTGATGGACATATGGACATCTTTAGTCCTAAATATGTGTCAAAGTCAAATGCCGTTTTGGAGTGGGACTGCTGACTCAACTTGGACCCTGTCTGAAAGGATGAAGGCCTGGATTCAAAGCAGTCCAGTATATGAAGGAGTCTGGTCACAGGGCCGTGGAAGGGGGAGAGAGTCCTCGTAGCTGTGAGAAGCGAACTGCTTCTCAGGTGAGCCCAGCGCATGCCTTGAGGGTCCTCTCCCCTAACCTGGTCTCTCCTCACAGCCGAACCCTCTTCCCCCTGGCTCAGCTCCAAGGCTCAGCATCCTGAGAGTAACCACAGGCCAGCAGAGAGAAGAGAGCAGCCTGGAGAAAAGAAGCCAGAAGCATTTACCTGTCCTTTAGCCAGACCTTGTCACTGTGAGCCACAGTGAAGACAGCTTTTCTCAAGCATCCCTACCCCCTGGTCCCACGTGGCCTGGGCAGAGGAGCCTCCGGGGTGCATGAGAACTCCCACCTACCGTGGCCTTGCCTAGGTAATCCTTCTTGGCCAGTTGGGCCACTTGTCTCTCATTCGGTCGAAACAGCCTCCCCGCAGGGATCACCACCGGCTCATACAGCTTCTGTTTCTGTAGCACAGAAAGCAACAGATGGTCACATGCTGCTTAATACTCACAGCTCGCTCTGAGAGTTGCCTTGTCTCTTGATTTCATCATCGTACAAACAACGGCACATGGGGTGCCGTTAGTACTGCACCGGGACCACTGAATATGTGACCACCCAAACATCTTTATGCTGCTTGTGATTATATTTCCTAATCTGAAAACAGAGGTGATGATACCTGTGCAGCTTTCCTCATCAAATGACATAAGGATTCAGTGAAATAACCTCACGAAAGCACCTTGTTATTATTCTCTGCCAGGTGGGAACAGCTGGTTTCAATACCACCTTGTGTTGCAAGGCCATGGGGACATCTGCCAGCATTATTTGCCCCACAGCCTCTTTTCCTAGGGGACAACACCCCTCTCCCTGTCTGTGCAGTGTCCTGGTATAGTACTGTCCCTCAAGGCAGCCAGGACCCAAGCAAGAGTCATGATAGTGCTCTCCTGGGACTGGCATTGCTGATATGGGCAGCCATATGAAGATTGAGCTGAGCCCTCTCCTCCCTGCTGCTTTAAAACTCTTATTTAAAACTAGTTTCATTCCCCAATACACTCCTTGGTAATTTTCACCATTTACCCATATAATCAGTACATTGTTGCTGAGGCTACTATGTGCCTGGCACCGTGCTAGGCTTTAGGAAAGAGACGAACAAACACAGCCTCTGTCCTCACAGTGCATGGGGGCTGCACAACACTCCTCAATACCCAACACCCTGCTTCCCATGGGTGCCGGGCTTCCACAGAGCCCTAGTACAAGACGTGTACGAGCTTTCAGGCTTGGCTACTCAGTACAGGTCTTAAATGGATGGATGCTGAAAGAGCAATGTTTCCCAGAACTCTCCAAAAAGCAAAGCCCCGTTAGTGGTGTCCTCTGAAACCAGTAAGCACCTAAGCAAGTCTTCTTGCCACCTGCATCACCGCCACACTCACCCACACACTTTCCATGGCCTTGTCAATCTTGGAATGCCTGGGCTCAGACTTCATGCTTGTTGCCAAAGCTAGCTGTTCTTCAGCCTTTTTCCATTCCTCCTTCTTGGCATACATGAAAGCAATGTTATACAACACCTACAAAGGCAGAGGCCACAGCATAAAACTCGAGGCTGCTCTGAAACAAAGTACCAGGGAAGGGCTTACATGTACACCCAGGGAATGTGGCCTGATGACATCTTTGCCTTCCCCAGCTCTCCTGGTACTATGTTGAATATCAGAAGATTCGTCTTTCTACTGAGTTATGTCAAGCACAAGCATGGGTTAAGGTGTGAACTCAACAAGGGGACCAAAACTGCTGTGTTATTTTAGTGTGGAGAAGAGTGACTTGTTCAAGTCCCCTTGAAGAGGAAGAATTGAGAATAAAATTAAGTGTGTGTCCTGCCAGCCCAGCTACTGCCCGAGGCTGGGCCAAACCTTTGGAAAGATGCAAGGTCTGTAGAGGGCTCCAGATGCATTGTCCTGCAGTGGCACCTGCCGGATCTGGCTTGGGTCACCTAGGTTAAGCAGACTGTAACATAGCAATGTGTGTGAGGAAACTGCATGGGAAAAATTCAGCAGAGCAGACAGAGAGTTAGCATGGAGCCCATGGAGGACTTTTCCTGGGGTAGGAGGGAATGGAAAACTCAGTCATTTTCATATTTTGCAGGTCTTTAAATGGGGTGTGGGGTTATGAGTATTTGTTTTATTATCATGCTTCACAACTTACACATAGAATCAAATAATCTTTTAGATGCATTAGCCAGATTTTTAAACACCTACTTGACTAAAAAATTAGAAAAGATAAGGATATTATGGAAATGAAGGGGTGTGATTTTTAAGACTAGGCTATAAAAGACTTGACACTCCATCTTACCTTCTCTTGGTTCTCTGCTCTGTGGGAAGCCGGTGGCCGTGGCATGCCAAGACTCAGGCAGCCCTAGGGAGGAGTTTATGTGGAAAGAGCTGAGGTCTCCTGCCAGGAGATGCTAACTTGCCAGGGATGGATGGGTGGCAGAATTGGTGTTTCCATGGAGTCAACGCCTGGTGCTAGGTGATGGGGGCCAAGACCAAGCCCAACAGTGATGACCTAGGCTCCCTTCCAGGCCCATTGTTGAGCGTCCCTGAACTGATGCCTGCTGCATACAGATGGCTCACGATGGCCTGATTCAGGACTGGGTGAGGAGACTGAACTCTCAGCCTCATGCATCCTATGAAAGCAGTCTACGACTAAGTTACACCGCCAGCCCTTTTCATTTTTTGATTTGAGGAAGGGCCTCACTAACCTGCCTAGGCTTCTCTCAAACTGGCAATCCTCCTGCCTCAGTTTCCCAAGTAGCTAGGATTACAGGCACGCGCCACTATACCCAGCTCTATTTAGGAATTTTTGACTCTACAACGGTGCAAAAGTGATATGCACTCTACAAAAACGGTACTTCAAATTTTGAGTTTTGACCTTTTCCCAGGCTAGCAATATGCACTATGATGTTCTCTTGCAGTATGGGCAGTGGCATTGAGCCACAGCTCCCATTCAGCCACGTGATCACAAAGGTGGATAACTGGCACTTTACAGCCGTACTGTACTTTACAGCAGGTAGCTGTGTTCAGTCAGGTGCATTAAATACATTTTCAATTTAGGATTTTTTTTTTAAGACATGGTTTCATTATGTAGCTCAGGCTGGCCTTGAACTCACTATGTAGCCCAGGCTGGCCTTGAACTCACAGTGATCCTCCTGAATGCTGGGATTATAGGCATGCACCATCACACCCAGCCTAATTTAGGGTATTTCTAATTTAAAATGGGTTTATCTAGACAACCTGTAGTCATAAGCAGAGGAGCATCTGTACATGCTTGGCTGCTATCTCAGCCCTGTGTACAAAAAGAACTCAAAGGTGGTTCCAAACTTCCTATTGGTTCTCTGTCACCTTCTCCTGAGAATTTTTCCCACAACAAGATTTTATGACTTGATAACTAGAAAAACCTTGAGACTCCTCAACAAGAGATGTGGTTTCTCAGAAGTCAGATGCGGTTTCTCACCATGATGAGAAGAGAGGACCAAAATTAGAAGTAGGGAAATGACTGTGGGTCCCCCATGGCATGGAGGGCCTTAGACCCCGAAAGGGGGAGCTCCGTTTTCAAAGGAGCCCACTCAGCCCCTATTTCTTGTCCATCAGGTTGGTTCAACCCCAGCAACATAGAGGATGTTCCTCTCCTCAAGGCCTGCTTTGATGCCACTGTGGCATGATCTTTTTCTAGACCCACTTGGTCTCCCAACCCTTAAATCTGTATTAGTGGTTCTCAGTGGAGGCATTTTTGGTCATCACGACCAGGGGTGAGGTGCTACTGGCATCTAGTGGGTAGAGGCCAGGGGTGCTGCCAAAGATCCCACGGCACACAGGACAGCTCCTACAGTGAATTGTCGGATCCAACATATCAGTGGCGCCAAGGCTGAGAAACCCTCCTCTGGAAGCTGGTCAAATGCCAGCCAGTTCCTAAAGCAAACCCTCCTCTCCCCAGACTGTGAGAAGTGGAGTAAGTTCCAAGCCTGCTGTAGGGCTGGGATGGGACCCCATGTCCCCAGGGGCCCTGGGCAGCTGTGGACTCTATCTTTAGCCCTGAGCAACCCTGGGAATACTTCTTATGCCTGAGAAACTAAAGCAAAGGGATTTTTTTCCAGCAATTCTTCTAAATAAAGATCCATGACATTTGCAGGGATTTTAGTTTTTTAAAGCTGCTGATGTGGGGGGGAGGGTTGTTTGGGGAAAGTCCATGAACCCACTAAGGCAAAACTTGTCATGTCTCTCCTTTTTGGTAATACAGAAAAGGAGTCCTTCTATGGAAACTTTTACCTAAATTTGAGCATTGAGCTGTTCTTTGAACAAGAGGAGCCAGATTTGTGCCAAATTTTCTGTCTGTCTTTTGGTCTCAATTAAGTACTGGGGTGAGAACCATTAACATTGAAAAGCATGCTCTGCCACCTGGGGATAGCAAAGTTCCAGCAGGTGCTACGTGGAGAGTGAGCCTGTAATTTTGGATCTGTCAGTAAGATGCCGAACTAATAGCTGATCGACTTGAATTGCTAAGTGAAACATGCAAATTATTCCGAATACTTTCACAGGGAGCACATTGGCATCATCTCCCTCAGGAGAGCCCAGTGGGCTCATTTTACATGGCTTTTTGAGCCAGTTAAGATTCACACCAACTAATGACGCTATGATGATACTGCAGTCATTCAAGTCTTGCTTTTTTCTTTTCTTGTGGAGCTGGAGGTGAAACCTAGCCAAGCAGTCTACCACTGAGTTATATTATCAGCCCATCTGAATCTTCTCTTAAGGGAAAATCTGACCTCAAGGCACAAGAGGCAAGTGACTTTCACAAGCCCCTGCAGGTGTCACCAAACTACTGTGCATCTTAACTGTCTGCTGCTTGTCCAGCCACAGTCCGTTCCTGCCTGGGCTGGCCCTGTCTCTTACCTCACAAGCAAACAGCTTGAACTGCAGCCCCAGGATCTTGTAGTCTATCAGCTGGTTCCCTCGAAGCTGAGTCAAGGCCTCTTTTAGGTCTTTAATAGCTAAGTCATATCTGCAGGACAGAGAGAGAGAATAAACCAGTCCAGGACATGGAGGAATAAATGAAGAATAAATGTGTCTCTACTTCTCCCTTCCCCATCCATCTCACCGGGAGAAAAAGCCTTTTCAATTTCTCATGACCTGTTCTAGTTTTTCACCAACCCTGAAACCAAGGATTCCATGGACACAGTGAACCTGCCCCGTGAGGCTGTGTCACAGCCTGGCCCCTCCAGGCCCCAAGTCAGAGATACCCTCAGGGATTTTCTTCCATTAGACAGAACACAACTCCCACTTTTCTGGCAACCTAGTTTGCCCCCTTCAAATACAGCTTCATTCTCTTTTGAGGACTCTGAGCAGAGCCTCACCTGCCCACCTTGTGTCCCTACAGAGTCTCAGAGCTGATTCGGAGCACTGCTCGCTCCTCACATCCTCCTACCCCCTACTTCTTGTAAGGTCAGATGAGCCTGGCCCAGCCAGTGTTAGGACTGCTATCCTTGAATCGTGGTCAAGAATAGAGGGTGGCCACATCAATGGGGTTCAAGGGGTGTGTGTGGGCAGGACCTAGATTCACACTCCTGAGAGAGGTAGCCAAGTCTGTGGCCCAACTCTGACCTCCAGCTGTGCTGAGGGGATGCACCCATTGCTGGGCTGCAGGGAGTGAGCAACAGCAAAAACAAGCTACCAAACCTATTCCTTCCCTCAGCCTCTGGCCTAGCAGGGACAGATTTGGCTGCTTGGTTTTGGTTCTTATCTGGACAACTAGGCAAAAAGCCCCTAGGCCACTCTCTGATTCCTCCAGGGCTTCTCCTGGAAACAAGCCTGGAATTGGGACACAGATTGGCAGGGATCCTCAGGAAGAAGTGATGTGCAGGAAGGCACCCAAGTTAGGAACAAAGGGCCAAGGACCACACCGGGCAGGTCTGCCACTAACCGGGAGGCTCCAGCAAGGTACTACTGTGGCCTCAGGTCCTGGTCAATAATGTGGGAGCATATTGTATACAAGGAGCATATTATACACATAGAGCATTTAATAAGAAGCTTGCTACTATGTGGTCCTGGGTCCAATTTCTGCAGTCAAAACCAACTGGGCTTGAGTATTGGCTCTGCCATTTACATCTGGTTACTTCACTTACATCTGGGAAAGTTACTTTGCTTCCCTAAAGTCTGTTTCCTCACCTTTAGAATAAGAGAATGATAAAAATAGTATATATGCCTCACAGGGCTGCTGTGCGAACTAAATGAGATCATGTATTCAGGTGCTCAGGGAGTGCCTAGTGTACACAGTAATTCCTTTATTTTTCAACTTTAACACTCTATCAGTTAAACCCACGCACCAATCTTTCATCACATGCTTATTTAAAGCTTGATATACCACACCTATTAGGTGTCATCGGGAGATGTAAAAAATAAATACAGTGTAGAAGCTGGAACTCTTATGGCTCTTACCTGGACAACTCACATAGGCTTAGAGCTGCCCAGGAGAGCTGGTTGGCTGAAGCATCCTGGGGGATGTGCACCCCAAGTGTTTGGGGGAGAAGCTGGACTTGCTGTTCCATTAGGTCTGAAGTAGCTCACAAGCAGGCTGCTGCAGTGGCTACAGGAGTGGTGGGAGAGGAGAACCTGGGTTTAAACAGGAAAATTGCCTTCCTGGTATCCCTGCTCCTAACAAGGACAGCTGTAAAAGGATTAGAAGCAGGCCACTCTTTAGGAAGCAACAGGTGATTCAAGTCATTGTCATACATCTTTCAGATCATCCTGGGGAGGAGAAGGTAGGCATCACAGGTTTCTAAACGAAAACCTGGGTAGTTGGATGGCTTCACTGAGCCAAGAAGGAGGAGCAGGTGGAAGCTGAAGTGTTCCGTTCCCTCCCATCTGATTTCCCCTGTGCTCTTCCCACAGCCTGACTGGAAAGCAGCACAAAGTTCCAGAGGGTGTGCTCAAAGTACGCTCAGCTTTAACCCACAAATGTACCTCCTCCCTGCCAAGTTGGCTGAGGGCGTGGATTTCGGCTACCAAGAGACCCACTGAGTCTACCAGGCATTGCACGAAGCCAGCAAAACCCTCCTTATAATCCTCTAGCCCATCAAGATGTCAGAGAGACCTGGGCCCTGTGGGAGGGAGAAGGAATGGAGAGATTATGCAGAGTTTGCTTTGTGTGACAAAAAGCAGCGAGGTATCCCTGTGAAACGTCCGTTTATAAATACGTCTTTGAGCGGATCCATGGGCCTCTACCGAATGCGCCAAGGGTTGGACCTGCGGTGTACCATAGGGTGCGGTGGGGGACGGGGTCACTTTTCACACAGCACAAGTCCGAGCAGGGTCAGTGTGCAAACTCCAAAGCAATGTTCAGCCCTGTGGGTCATCGGGCCCCAAACCGTGGTCCTTGTAGCCCGTCTTCACAGTTCTCTTCCGTGCCGTCGGAAGCCTTCCCTTCATCGGGAGCCGGCCGGGCAGCCCTGCTTGCCCCTGGTAATCTGCATGCCCATGCCGGATGACATTCTGTGGGGCACCCTGGCTATGCTGACCATGCTCTCTCAGGCAGGGGCTCCCCACAGAAGCATAAGCCTGGCTGTGGCTTCTCACCGCTGCCAGCTTGAGAATGTTCCCAATCATCATTTTTGTAATAGGCCTGGCAGGGGTCTCTTAGTAACCCCTGACGTTCCTGCTGGTTCCTCTGCTACCAGTGCCGCATGAGGCCTGGAATCCTGCAGCTCCTTTGCCTACCTTCAGGGAATTGATCTCAGCAAGCCGGAAGTCCCAACGCCCAACACCTTTGGGAAGCTGCTGTATTGGGCGCAGGTCCAGGTTTGTCTCTTAAGCCAGCTCAGGCTACAGGGTCTTGCCACTATTTTATTTTCACCATCGTAAGCGTCCTGATTCCATGAGGCATAAAGTCTGAAGGACAACTTAGAGTCCCTCCCTTTTCTGATGACAAGGCTAGGGACAGAGAAATAAGACAGATTGGCCAGGTCTTCCCTGAGATGCCACCTGCTTCCTGGGAAATATGCTATAACTTTGTTCTTTTGGAACTTTATAATGACAGAAGAGCCACACAAGTGAATAGGGGAAGTAGAGAAGCACTGCCCATGACATTATCACCCAACTCAAGTCCCACCACAGTTAGAGGGCATTCCTAAGCCACACAGTGGGAAGTAACCTCCCTGGTGCACTCACGGAAAAACAGCACTTACAGCACATGCCCAGTTCTGCCTTGCGTCATTGTTACTGGTCTTGGCGACTTGTTTCCCTCTTCTAATCTATAAGTTCCTCCAAGCAGAGATGCATGCACTGCCACTGAATTAATTCAACAAGCATGTACTGAGTAACTGCTATCTATCTACCGGGATATCAGCACGAGTGTGTAGATTTCTTTTCCTAAGACTCCTTCAGGGTTGTTGTGAAAGAGACAACTATAAAAAAGAAAAAAATCTGTCACAGACTAGACTGATTTATAAAAGGAGGCACAGGAGAAGGAGTGTGTGGTCTTCACCCCCAAAGTTGAGTGTGGTAAGAGTACAAGACTGGTGACTGGGAAATCAGTTTGGAAGTGATTGCGGTTGTCCTATGAAAAATGAGGGTTTGAACCAGGTTAGCACCAGTGGGGATGAAGAGAAATAAATATACTTAAGATGTCATTTTGACAAGGTTTTGAGCAAGGGACACTCTGGGTTGATCCAGATACATTCTGGGTTGATACAGATTTAGGAGCTAGGTGGTTACAAATAGAGATTGGTACTTTAGGAGAGGGTGCCTTTGCCCAAAAATGGGTCCTTCAGGAGGACATATGGACTTCCATATCCATATTCCCCAAGACTGTACATGAAAGGATGTTTGTGCTTGTGTGTCACTTCTGGGGAGAGAGCCTGCACATTTTGCCATTAAACAACCCCTGCTATAGTCATACAAGACAAAAGGGTTAAGAACAGAATGTTAGGAGCAATATTGATACCTATAGATTGGGCAAAAGAAAAGGAGCCAGCATGGAATGGAGAGAAATGCCTCATTCACGATTTTTTCATTAGAGAGTTGCTGAACTATAGATTAACTCTTGTAGATGTTCTTCTTGGATTTAACTATTATCAAGCAGATTAACTGAGTCTGGAGTCTTATTTCTAGATCTTTCTAGCTCATTTGAAATCTTAGCCTTCCAGGTTCTGGAACTTGTAGGCATCTTCCTGTGGGAACTCCTTCCAGGAGCCCTCCCTCTTTCTGTTGGTTCTCCACATTCTAGGTTATTAGAGCTAATTAAAGGGATGGCCTTAGAGTTTGTCTTTTGAGAGTCAAAACAGGTTGCAGCACTTGTGCTTGGCCTCCCTGTGCATTCTCTCCATCTGGAGAATACAGAAGATGCAGGAGGGAGCAAATGACAGAAGGATGTTAAGCAGGGAGACAGGTGGTTAGACAGAGGCAAGGTGCTGATAAAGGTAAACACCCCTTATCTCCCCCCAATTCAGGCACTCTCCCCAGAGTGCTTCTGTGGCTATGGTTTTTCTTTGGGGAAGACTTTGCTTTTGCTCTTACTCATGCAGGTAATGGACTACATCTACCTCTGTGAAGTCCTCTGAGTGCCTATTGTTGCTCCTAGCAACAGCTAGGAACCTGGGCTTTACAAGCCATGTTTCTGTAAAGCCTAGGATCAAAACCTTCCAAGGCACACGGGATACAGCCCAGCCCCTCCCCTGCCTGCCCCTCTACCACAGCCTGTCTGCACTCTGTCACTGCCCTGCCCACCTGCACCTCAACATGTGCCGTGCTCTGACCAGTTTTGCTGTTAGATCTTCATTAGCCAGAGCCAAATCCCTTTTCCCCAGAATTTGTGCCCACAGATGGAACAATTTATATGCAGGGTCCAGTCTTCCATCCCCAAAACATTTGAAATTCACACGTAGAATTTTTTTTTCTTTTTTTTTTGGTACTGGGGATCGAACTCGGGTCCTTGGGCTTGCGCAGCAGGCGGCGAAACCACTGAGCTAAATCCCCGGCCGTTTTCTTTGTTATTTATGGGTTGTTCTTTGGGCATTAGAAGGAACAGTGGGGATTGAAATTAACTTTCACTTTTAATTTATCTTTTTACTAACTCATGTTGATTGTGAACATATGAAAAGATGAAGATAGAGTGATAGAAGAAAATAGATCTATCATCCCATCATCCAGAAAGAATTACCCATAAAGTTTGGTCTCTGGTCTGTAGTCTTTATTCTGTGAAACAAATGGTATTTGTGATAGGCACTGTTTTGAAATCTGTTTTTAAACTTTCACACCTACTGTCACCTTTTTCTCTTGTAATATATATACACATACATATTAGTTATTTATCTCTATTACTTTATTCTTATACTGGTAATAGTTTATATTCTCATTTCTGTGGCTGCTTTATATTTCATTTAATAGACTAAGCCAGGCTTTGAACGTGCACTTTTCTGGGATGATGCCAAAGTCTGATGTGGTTTCAGAATAATCCTTTTCTGGGGACAGCTCCCAGAGTGGGAGGCCACCATGAGTGACCTCTCGGGGACACCAGTGGGGCCCTCACTGGCTGGATAGCAGGGCCGTGGTGGCATCTGAGGCACACTGTGAGGATGTCAGCACTAACTTACACTTGGGGACTCACCTGCCTTCCCTCGGCCTGCCTTGGTAATTTTTCATCTAACAGCGCAGAAGGGCCAGTCCAGCCAGGCTTCCTTCCCAACAAAGGCTGGAAGACCACACTTTTCCAGTGCCAGCCCCAGCAGCACCGAGACCCCTTGGGTTTCTCTCAAACTTCCGCAGTGTAGGCAACACTGGACCACTTACTTCTCTATCTGGGAGTAGAGCATCCCTCGCTGGAAGTAAGCCACTGCCAGGTGCTTGTCCCGGTTAATGCTTCTGGTGAAGGCCTGCAGAGAGAAGGCTGTGGCCAGTGAGAAGGTGAGGAGACAAGGGGTGAGCCGGAGAGCGAGTCAAGAAGGGGAACGATGCAGGTCTTTAAGAAACAGGGGGCAGCACAGAACCCCTGGGTCGGAACTCTCCAGGCTGCCCCTTCCTCCCTGCATAGCATGTGGCAAGATACCTACCCTCCAGGAACTTCTCTCCTCCGCAAAATGGGAATGTTACCATCTGCCTTTCAAGATTATTGGCAGAGTCAAAATAATAAAATGGATTAAAATTCAAATACTATAAAATATGAAATAATTTGTTTATAATATAAAATAGCATGTAATTAAAGTAATAGAAAACAAAAATATACATATATAAAGCACTAGTATAAGGATTCCAGCAGGAAACAAAGCAGGGCAGAGAGAGTGAGAGGGCTGGGAGCAGAGGGCTCCAGGGAGACCTGCGGGCAGAGGCACACAAGACAGGGGTGTGGTGGCCACAGGATCCATGTTTAGGCCAAGTGGGAGCAGCAGTTCCCGCTGGCCTACCTGGTCCCCGCTACAGCCAGAGGTGGACACCTGCACATGTGTGTGTTGGGCACCTGAAACTGACTCACATGTGAGCGCATTTCAAGCCACTTGCCCCTTCCTGTCAGGAGGGTGTGGCCAGGGCTCATGCACTTGCAGCGCAGGATGACTGGGAAACAAACCCTGTCCCCAAGTGTGCTGGGAGTCAGTCTATAGACTACTTTGAAAAGCTGGCAGTGAAAAATGAGAATAAGAACTATTATGCAGTGATATGAAATCATACGGCTTTTTTTTTTCTAGTAGCGGCGACTGAATATTTTAGGCAGGCACTCTACTACCGAGGTACATCTCTAGCCTTTTATATTTTTTATTCTGCTACAGGGTCTTGCTAGGTTGCCTGGGCTGGCCTTGAACTTACAGTTCTCCTGCCTCAGCCTCCTAAGTACCTGGGATTACATAGGTATACACTGCAATGTCCACTTGTACAGCCTTTTAATAATTGCTGTCTCATCCAATCCTCATTATATTTAAACTCTCAAGATGCTAAGAGCCAGAAGTTTATGTTGCCTGCTACTTCAGGCCCAGGGAGTTAGTGTTGGGATTCAGTGCTAAGTCTTCTGTTTCCAAACTTCGTGCCTTTTCCACATTATAATGATCAATCCAAAAATGTGGTTACTGAAAATGTTTCCCTCTATATTAGGATATTTAAGAGATAAAAAATGTTTTTTAAAAGACATCCCACACCATGCCCTTGGAAGACAGCAGTAATCAATCACAGTATGATTTCCTTTTGCCAGTCTCGAAACTCTTAAACAAGTGGCTGCATAATTGGCCAGAATCATCACTTGGGATGAAACTTACTTTTCCTAAGTGCCTCTCCTCAATCTCTTGGGCAGGCAAAACCCACACACACATAATTCTTAGAAAGCCATAGAGCTGCCTACAATCAGATGCACAGTGGTGAGACTGATAGAGATGCTAAGTCCAGCAGGTGATCGCACAAGAAAATATCTTCATAAAGACATTTCATTTCTCTCCCACAAGAGAGTCTTCATAAAGTTGTTACAGAATAACTGCAGAATGTTTTGAGTATCATAGATGGATCAGAAAGGAGGGTGTAACTTGCAACCCTGGGGAGCTTTTACAACTGTGGCTGCCAGCCCCCCCCCCCCCGAACAATTAAATCGGGCCCTCTGGGGTTGGGGCCTGGACAACTTTTTGTGCTTTTAGAGCTCCCCAGAGGGAAAGTCTCTAAAGTGCAGCTGGGACTGAGAGCAATAATTAAAGGGCACCGGGCGGGCGGCAAGGAGAGGCCCACCACTCACCTTCTCAGCCTCGAGCATGTTTTTCAGGATGCTGTGCACACAGCCCATGTTAAAGCAGATCCGGGAGTGGGGGTCCTGGACTGCGCTGAAGGCTTCCAGGGCCCCTTTCCAGTCCTTCTTGTCGGCTGCCAGCACCCCTTCATTCCAGAAACTGATGGCCTCAGCCAGGGACATGGTCAGGTGGAGCCCAGGCGGCTGGCTGAGAGAGCTGCCAGTGCACAGGGGGATGACGGGCCGTCTCCACAGCAGGATGGCCCAGGACCAGGTCTTCACGTTCCTGGCCTGGTGTGCAGAGTAGGGTTCGGCCTCCTTTGGGACAACTTCTTGGTGTTGCAAACGCCTCAGGAAATGCCCCCACCTTCCAGGAACTGACGCACAACCTACTCTGAGAGAAAAGGAGAGAGACTGGGGGAGGTTGGAGGCGGAGGGTCGGGGAGAGAGGAAGTACATCAGATAGGTCAGTTCCTCAAAGTGCTTCTTCTCTCTCGGCTGCTCCTCTCTGTATCCCACCCCCTTCCGGAGCCAGGGCAGGCTTGGCAGATCAGGGCACCTGCCCGCACTGGAGTCCACACCTTCGTCAAACACAGGTGTTGGGTGACGGGAAAGTGCTTTCCAGCCTTCAGTGAATTCCTTGCTCGCTTTCTCTGTCTCATAGATGGTCTCCACATGTTAATTTTTATCTTGAGCCAAATAAATAATTCAACGCATTTCTGAGATAAGATGAATGATCTTGGGCCTCTAAGACAACTTTCCTGAATGCTCAAGATGTTCGAACTGATTTCCTGCAAATGCAGGAAGTGGGAGCCAGGTATGATGTGACTTGTGGCTTCTCCAGTCCTGTGCAGAGATAAGGGCTGTGTATGGATGGCTGACGAGTTCACTACCTTTGAAAAAACAGTTAAGATTCCTTTCCTTGATCCCCTGGAAAAGTGAAATCCAGTAAAATTTCCCTGAGGGAAATGTGGGGGTAATGGGTCTAACTAATGTGACTTACAAACACAAAATGCATATTTCTGAGAGACAAATACTTATGCTAACTCTTGTTTTATAGCAACTGGAAGAACTCATTACAGGGTACGTAGGGTCAAAAGTGTAAGAACTGGAAAGATGTACGTGTGTCTGCACAGACCCTCCCGTGTTTGGAAGCCCTTTTTCACCTCACTTTTTTTTGCCTCGTGAATTCCTACCCACCTTTCAGAACCCACCTTTCTAGTGAGATTTATATGTCACCACCTCTGTGAAATCTAGTGCCATACTCCAAGTGTTAGAGAGAATATTTTCCACTTTGTACTATCTCATCCCAAATATTTATTGCAATGTAACTCTTCATCTGTTCAACTCTTAGACCCCTTGAAAGTTGAGATCATATTTTTTCCAGGATCCCCAGTACCAATACTCAATAACTAAGGAAGGGATGAAGTGTAAAAGACATTAGAAATCACTGATAAATGACCCACAGACAGCAGCGATGCCAGGAACAGATGCTGATAGTCTTACTGACTCCCATCCAGTGAATCATTAAAACTTGAATAGCACATTAATTGTTCCTAAGAGAACCACATGACTTTGGAGTTATAACTCCAAAGGTAGACTTTATTGAAACAATTTTTTCCCTCCATTACTGGGGATTATACTCGGAGATGCTCTACCACTGAATTACATCCCCATTCCTTTTTTATTTTGAGACAAGTTTACTCTAAGCTACCCAGGCTGGACTTGAACCTCAGATCTCCCTGCCTCACCCTCCGAAGCAGCCAGGATTACAGATGTGCACCACCTGCCCAGTTTAAGCAATGTTTTTGTCCTCTTGTTTATTACCCTAGCCTGACACTCAAAACTCTCTTGAATCTGACCCCTATCTGAGTCACTTTCTCATTGCTTGGACAAAATACCCAGTGCCCACAACTTAAAGGAGGAGAGCTTTACATTGGCTACCAGTGTTTAGAGGTTTCAGTCCTCAGGCAGCTGGCTCCAAGGCAGAAATGGCATGGCTGAGGTCCTAGTGGAGGAAAGCTGTTCAGGTCCTGGTGGCCAAGAAACAAAGAGGAGGGGAGGAGAAGGGAAGGAGATAAACCCTTCCGGGTCACACCTACTGTGATCACCTCTTTCTACGAGGCCCCCTAGGAGCATGTTTAGCTCAACTAATCAATGAATTAATTCACTGATGAGAGTAGGCCCCCACATTCCAATCACCTTCCTAGAGCCCCGCCTATGAATATATAAGGGGACATTCTAATTTAAACTATAACATTTTGCCCCACCTCACTCCTGTCCCAAAAGACTTTTCTTGTTTATTAGCCTAGTCTGACACTTAGAATTCTGAATATGACTCTCAAAACGTTCTAGCCTTAATCTCCAGCACTTCTTTTCACCATTCCACGCAGATTCTCCTATATGCTCTGCTCTGCCTACCTGCCCCATTTCCTGGCTCCCAGCTAACTGCTCACACTAGCTTCCACTCCTGGGCTGCCCTTTCCAGATTTGCACCTTCTTGCCGGTCTTGCTGGCTTTGGAACATTGCTCGGATGTCACCTTCCTTAAGATGCTGCCCTGAATTCAGGCCTGCACACACCAAGCTCATGACCTCACCTTCTTCTGAACCCCTGCATCTTTTCCCCTCCACCTCCCATGTGGTACTTAGTCCTTCCGCCGTGGTGGAGGTTATGTGTATGTGTGGCACCTTCACCCCTCGTGCACCTCAGGAGGGACTTGGGGCTGACTCACCTTGTATCCCCTAGCAATGCCCTTCGCTTCTCATCTGTTCTCTTTCCTTCTAATCCTCTGTTACTTCCCAGTCCAAATCACCATCAGCTCATGGGTTAATAGTCTCCTAACCTCTCCATCCATTCTCTACACAGCAGCCAGACTGAGTTTTTAAACCTTCGGTGCCTTTGCCTGGCTCTAACGACCCAACCCAAACTCTCCTCCCTGGGCAGGAAGACCCTGCCAACCACCACTGCCCGCTCTCCCCAGCCACAACAGCTTCCGGTTTTGTTCTTGGATCAGCCAGGCCTTTCCCTCTGCTCCAGTGGTCTCCTGTGTGCATCGCCAGGCTGCTTCCTACCCATCTTTCTCTTCCCTGGAGTGGCCTTTCTGGACCCATGACCTCACTCTCTCACGGCATACGGTTCCTGGTAGTGAGTATCTGTCCCTATTTGTTGTTGTCTCCCATTGGTAAGACTGTTTCTATCCCCAGTGCAAGACAGCCTACTCAGTCATCACCTAATGCTGTTAATGTGAACTCCCGTTCACTCTCATTCCTTCTTTTGTTAGGACCCTAGCTCCCTCAGAACATGAGATTCAATGATTTAGGCCCCAAACACTGCCCAGGAGGTGGGGTTCTGATTGATTTAGGCACAAGCATGAAATAGAAAGAATTCTGGTCACTGAGACATTAAGGGAAGTCTGTTGATGATTTTTGGGAAAGATCTTTTTTCCTTGGTGATGAAAAAGACACGTGGAAAGAAATAGTATTTGTTCAGACTGTATTGTGAAGACGTACCTAAAATAGTGGCAGTTATCTTGTGACCACCAGGAAAGCTAACTATGAACAATGTATTGTAATAAGGAAAAGACAACAAGAAAATAAAAAAACTCTGCTCCTTCATTATGTTGGTGAGCATCTAAGTTAACAAATCTTGGTAAGTGAGCTCACTTACCTCAGGATTTCTTGCCTGGTTAGATATTAAATTTGTTTATTGTTTAAGCAACTGAATGGGATTTTCTACTTGTAATAATTTAAAACATTCTGATGGACACAGCACTGTGTTTGTGAGGTATTGGTTGGATAGCTAAATGTTCCATTTCAGTGTCTTGAAAATGATTCCCAAATTCCAAGTAAGCAAGGTTTCCAAGTGATTAGCTACCATCAGATCACAAATTCCTGTTGCCTTTATTTATTCAGCTGTATGCTAAGAACATTGCCCAAACCTTCCCCTTTCTTTGAGGAAAGAGTCTACAAAGTCAAAATAAAACTTGCTACTGCTTGGCATCATCTCAGCAGTACTTCCTCTTCCGCACTTGTAGAATTCACTGTTCTTTATTTTTTTAATTAATTTTATTAGTACATTTTAGGTATACAATATAATGACATTCATCATTGGA